CTTTAGGACAATCTCTAATGGAGCTAAATCATGCCGCCTACAGAGGCTGTTGCAAGGAGGCTGCTGCTTCCCACAGAGGTGAAGTCCAGCCAAGAATAGCATGTGTTTCCTCCTCTGCATCTAGCACAACTGCAGCTAAGTGGTTGCTTATGTTCAGAAATGAATGAAACATTCAATTAAAACAAGAATCTTCACTGACGTGACCACTGCTGTTTAATCGTTACACAAAATAGCCTTGTCTTGCCCAAGCATGCCTGGCTCTTTAAGGATAATGGAGACAGTACAGTGTTTGGATAGCTATTTTTCCTGAAAAATGGGGAGGGTGTGCCTGTGTGAGGGCATGTTCACAAGAGCATTAGCCCAGAAAGAAATAGGTACATCTGGAAAGAGCATAATCCAGGTTGCCAGACTCTGGCACTGCCATGAGAAATAATCCTTTCTCAGGAAAGTACCAAAATGTGGCTGTCTGGTTTGCCCACAAGTATCTGGGCATTTTTCTTGGCAGGCAGGGGTACTGGCAGTTATCTGCATTTTGATTCCTGACCCAACTAGTGTCTGTTCTTTCTTTGCTGAAGATGGAAGGATACGCCTGTGGTTAAATCACTGGCCTAGGGATTAGGCAAAGTGGTTTCTACTTAGATTTTAGTCTGCATCCTTGGCCAGGTCACTTAAGAATTTTGAAAAGTGCTCAGCACCCACAAACAGGATCAGATTTTTCAAAAGCTCTCTGCTTCCACTGAGGCAGTGACCAGATGATCAAAAGAACTTTTCTGAAAATTTGGCTGCTGGTGTCATTGAGAGCGCTACTGGGTGCTGAGGAGTCATGAAAATCTGGTTCTCATTAAGGTGCCCAGATGGGAACCAAGATCTCCAACTAGCCCCCATCATGATGGGAAGACACCTGAGAATCTGGCCAGAAGTGATCTCTTGAAATGCTACACCAGCAACTTTCTCTGTGCCTCAATTTCCTCTAAATGAAAGTGATGTTGCCAGAGTCCTTGTAAGGATAAATTCATTAATCTACTGTATGTGATGTACTTGGATGCTTCTGCAGCCAGGAGAGGGAGGTGAGGCGTATGCAGTGTAACATCTTTCCAGACATACCAATCATCTGTGTAAGCAAGTGTGTTAAAGGGGCTGGAGTAGGAGTCCAAGAGTCAGCTTCACTCTATGTACAATTTGCAAGTCTTCAGGTTCAGGAGCTGCTGCTCTTCATCTTAAACCCTTGTTCATGAGTCAGGGCTCTGCCATGCTAGGGGATGTAACCGATCAAAAAGACTCACCCTGAAAAACCTTTGTGTTAAACAAAGTAGGACAGGGAGAATATATTGAAAAAAAAAAAAAAAAGATAAAGCTGTTCCATTCAGCTGTTTGCCTTCTGAACTCCCTGCCTGTTGGGTACAGTAATTTTATAATTTTCTTTCCTCACATGATATTCCTTTCCATTCCCACTAAGGCACTTGGTATTCTGGGGTAGTTTTAGACTGTTAGAATTTCAACTTCACAAGATTGGTTACTCTCCTTATACTAGATAGGCACATACAGTAATATTTTTTTCGCAGGTGTTTGGGGTTGTTTTTGTTTTAAGACCAGGGAACACTAACTTCAAAATGGACATTTATATATATATTTAACTTACAGTGGCCTCAACTTTGCTTCCAGATGGGGAAATCTGAAAGGTCCCAAGCCTCCCATGGTGCACACTGGAGCAGCCTTCCTTCTCTTTCTAAGCAGCCTCCCCTCACATGATGCAACATTTTCATTCCAGCTGAGAGTGGGGGCTCTCCCTCTTCCCTCCTTCCCCCCCTCCTTTTTAGCCTTCCAGCACTGTCCACATCTGTGCAAGCTAATGCTACCCAGATCCTTCTCAAATGGGCACTGAGGGCTGGCACGCAGAAGCAAAGCCCCCAGGCTGCATCTCTGAAACCCAAGAAACCTCAAACGCATTGTGTTTCCGTAAATGCTCCTCAGCTGACTGGGCTGTGGGGAATTTCTGCTCTTCCCAACCCTTGCCTCTCCTTTGGCAATGAGGTGCAGACTTTCAATCAACTTTCTGACTGCCTATGTGCAGAAATGGTATTAGCGTTAGAGTGAAACCACAACATGAGGGGCCCTGCCTGGCTGACGAGGAGCCCCTAACCACAGCTGCCCTTGGCCCAGGCCTTGCTTGCAGCCCAGCAAGGGTGAGCCGTCACCACCCCGTCGAGCTACGGCACCTTCCTTCAGGGTTGCAGTGGCGATGGCGCGGCCCAGCTCGGGCTGGGCTAACGCGGGTTCGCGCCGTGGCCGTTACTGGCTCAGGTGCCTAACAGCCGCTTCTTTTACAGCGTTCTAAACAAAAATGGGGGTTTTGGGGTTTGTTTTTTTTTTTAAAGTAGAACACAACATTATAACTAAATTGAATTCACTGACAAAAAACCCTGGTATCTTGACAGCTTTTCGGCATCAGGTACAACAGTTCATGTTTTTCTGGTCTCACAGACTTATGAGCAGTTGAGCAAGCAAAAATATTTTCCCTCATCATCTTTGGTGGCAGGAAGGAAGTGTTGTTGTGTCATGAGCAGCAAAACCTGTGGTGGTCTGTGGTGTTGAGTGCCCCTGAAAACACCAAGTTACTCGGCTTCATCTCTGGTGGGAGCTGAGGAAGCAGCTGTGTCATGGATGCAGTCATTTTGAAGGGTAAGGCTGTGTGTTTTGAGTGTCCATCAAGTTAAAATTCCAGCTCTCAAAATATGGTTGATGAATGGAGCATTGAATCACAGAATCACAGAACTGTCTGGGTTGGAAAGGACCTTAAGATCACCCGGTTCCAACCCCCTGCCATGGGCAAGGACACCTTTCACTAGAGCAGGTTGCTCCAAGCCCCGTCCAACCTGGCCTTGAACACTGCCAGGGATGGGGCAAGCCACAGCTTCTCTGGGCAACCGTGCCAGTGCCTCTCCAAAAAGGTTTCTGTTCACTTATTTTTTAAACACTGATTTTCATGAGTTAAACAGTAGAAAGTCAAAATCACATGTAGCAGAGAAAATGTCTCTCAGCAGTCACAAATTGAATTTGCTTTGCTTGCGTTTCCTTTTGTACTGTGTTCTTGAGAGCATTCAGCATATGAGTGACAGATGTGATGTTGAAAAAAGGGTGTTTCAAAAAGAATAAGATACTCATTGCAAGTGAATTCTGAACTCAGTGTAGGGCTGGAGTTTGTTCTTGAAATCTGAATCTAAGAGCTTTCTTGCCCTGACTGTGGAACAGAGATAATGCCATAAGAATCACATGCCAAAACTAACTGGTAGCTTGGATTTTAGATACTGAGTATTGCAACTTGCTTAAAAGCAATCTAGAAGTGAAATGCAATGAAGGTGATATTACAAAAGACAACTGAGCCAAGTGGAATTACTTTAAACTACAACTTTAAAGCCATCTGATAATTTTATAGCAGTACAAAAATAAAAAAATTACTGCTGAAATGAGTCTTTAATCAAGCAGCAATCTTTAATATTAAACAGTTTTCTTTATTTCCAGGATAGTATGAACAGTGTTTTTAGCTGAGGCTAGTAATGCAAGCTCAAGGAACAGTCGTAAAACTTTCCATGTTTCCTGATGTAGTAAGTTATGCCCAGATCTCCAAAAGATAATAATAGACTGTAGGAGTTCCTAAGCATAAGAACTAAGAAAACCCCTGTTTGGACTTACTGGCATCAACCTGCTAAACTGAGCTATGCTGGTTGGAACTGGAGAAGAGCAGGAATTCCTGTAACAGGCACAGAACATCCAACTACTGCACCTTTTCTTTTGTGGAAGACAGAAATCACTGCTGCATCTTCACCTATATGCACATACAGAAAATCACTCTGGAGATCTTACTGCCCAGACTTGCATGTAACTTGTATGCAGAGTAAGAACTCAGTAATATCATGACCACCTTCATTCATCACCAGAGCATATTTTTGGAGCTATTCAACCAGAAGGCTGGAATAGAATGGGCCAGAATCCTTCCAGTTGTTGCCTTGTTAATTTGTGTTGAGAATTACAACTTAATAAATAGGCAGGGTAGCTCTTGTGAACTGACATTCAGCCTGTGAATTCTGTATTATAGTACTGAGTCTTGTCCAGTAATCTACAGCAGCATATCAGAAATTGTACCCACAAGTATTTCAGTCTTGGAATACATTTGAATGAAGCCAAATAATGATTACAGCTGTTTTTGAACACACAGCTAGATTTTGCTAAGCTCTGCCCACCCTCAGCAAAAGTCTTTCCATTCATTGGAGAGCTTGTGCTCTGTTTGAGCGCTCTTTTTTTATCCTAAGTTGACCAGAACTTGGCTTTGGCCCTTTAAATCCTTCTCCCTATCAACTCAGCAACCACAGAGGCAGTTTATTACTGAAAAGAAATCTTAGAATCAGTTTTGGCCAGCATTGTCTTGGAAAGTTCATTTTATTAACATGGTTTTGATTTTATTTCAAAAACACTTTGACAAGCACTGACATCTTTGGAACCAGTAAAGCACAAGAGACTTACTCCTAAAGGCCTAAGCTTTGCATTTTTCTGCAGCAAACAATGTGATGTGCTACTATGGTAAATTCAGTTCAAGCCACTGACTGAAAGGAAATAAGTACTGAGTGTTCTCTTTTTTCCTTCATTTTCTAAAATACGTTTTGTGTGAATGCTAGTGCTTGTGGGATGTACTTGCTTAACTACTCATCGCTTATTTGCTTTTTTATCTAAAGTGTGACAAATATATCAATACTGGCAACATAAACTTCCCTTACAAGTCTTCTTTTATTGCTCAACATTGACCTTAAGTAACTACCTCTTGACTTTTTGCTGAGATTTGCCAATAAGGGTCCTAGTTACGTGTTTTATATTCCTGTTCATCAACTGAGAGTTGTTCTAAGATCACCTAATTCATTTACAAAGAAATTCTGGGAAATAGCTGAGCGGGTTTTTTTTGTGTGTGGTGTTTTTTTCTTTTTTTAAGGCATGCTGAAAGAGAGTTTCTGGTTTCTGAGCTACATAGAAGAGCCTTGTTGTGATATTCTGCATTCACGGGAGCTCCACACATGGTGGGAATAATGGAAGGGCAAAACAGAGGTAAGTCATGTGCTGGGATAAGCAGACTTGACTGAAGAAATCTACCAGTGGTAAGTGGATAGTATTTGGTGTGTGTCCCTGGGGCTTTGCCATCTTCCAATCTGTCCCTTTGGAAATTATGTCGAGTAATTAAGAGACAGTGTAAGCATCTCCATTTCAGGGGCTGTAGTGTATTTTATATATATGGTGTTGTTTCACATCATAACACTGGGTTTTGTTAGAAACTTATTTTGCTGTCTGGAATTTTAAATTGTGAAAATGGCCAAATGCACTGCTTGAAGTTCCCTAGGCAAGCCCACAGTGAGCTACTGTCCACTTCTTTCTTTCCTTTCAGAGAGAAGAATGCAGCAGTATGTTGGTCTGGAAAGAGTAGCTGCTTTTTTAGTCATCAGGAAACATATGCTGCAGATGTTTCAGAAATCTGGCTTTTAATATAGCTTTGATATCTAGTATGTCAAGTTATGACTCATTCTCCCTTTAACAGAATACGTTATGTGTATCCTATATGTTGCTGTGATGGATACTTAGGAACTGAAGTGAACTAGCATACCTGTGATCCAGGAGTATGTTATTTTCAGTACTATGGATATCTATTTAAAATAGAAATTCTTTCTTAAGTCTGGAGTATCTTTTTTTCATCTCAGCTTTATTTCAGAATGACTGCATAAATTGTATGACCTGTTTCTCCAGCTGCATAACCAGATTATATAGGCCTTTCCCTACAAGAATGGAAAAGAACTTTTTTAGGTTCTTTTTGTTTTGGTTTGTGATTTTTGTGATTTTATTTTTTTAGGGAAGTGTTTAGGGGATTTTGTGGTGGTTTTTTGAGTTGATGTCTTCTTGCTGGAATCATTCATCTGATTTTTTTTTGTAAATGTGGAGTTCTCAGAAGCTGACATTCTGAAGTGTTACAATTTGGGATTGCCGAGAATGTTGTCACAACTGGCCAGCTGTCTCTTAAACTCAGTGTAATGAACACATACACACTTTTCTTGGAGAGGTGGAAAGCCCAAGATGTGCATATGGTGTGTAACAGAAGGATACTCTAGCTGCTTGGTATTATGAATGGCATAGCTGCTAGCATGCTTCTTAAATCCTAAGTGGAAAGTTTCTTACCTCCCAGGAATTCCATATTACTTTTGAATGCCCTCATGTTGAACTCAGTGTAGTTGTTGATGAGACCCTATAAAGAATGATGTCCACTTACGTGCACAGACACCACAGTCATCAGTTTACAGCATGCAAGCAGCACTGGGAATAGAATTTAAGACCTTCGCCTCCGCAAACACAGCTGCTCATCTGGCTATAGGCTTTGTAGCCAGCAGAGGGAACTGATAAACGCTCTCATAGGGCTGCTTTATATATGTTTTTCTAACCAAGAGAGGGCACTGACTCTCACTCACTTTTGAAAAGGGTCTGTTACAAGTCACCCCTCAACAGTTTCACCTGCCATTCAAGAACAAACATGCTTACATTCATCTTGCTTTTGCTATAAAATACGGACTTGCATGAAGTTGTTTTAATCACCAAAAGATGCCCCTAGACTACATCGTGATATTAATCCCCTGCAGTGCAATTACGAGACATTAAATTCATTACACACCAAGACAATTACAGAAACACATCCAACATTTCAGGAGTACAGAGAGACCAAACACAATTGTTTACTGATGTGTACAGAGAATAGGCACAGTTATTGCACAAGACCCACAAAAAGCTTCAGAACCAGGACGCACCAATATATTTTTAAACACACATCGCTCCACAACTTTTGCTGAAGGAGAATTCTGTTAGTATAAATAATAGATCTCACTTTCTGGACGGAATGCCACAAAAAAAGCAACATCACTTGCACAAAACTCTAGAAAATGTAAATGGCAAAAGTAAGAAACTTTTGTACATTCAAATACAGGTACTTGTTGGTTTTAATCAGATAGAACCATCTCTAACGCTTTTTGTCTTTTCTTGTTCCTTGCTACAATAACTCAATTGAATCACTGCTCTTTTAGAAACTTGACTCTAGTGAAAAGTAAAAATTATCTCCCTGTAGAAAGAAAGAATGCTCAGCGTAGAATAACTGAAAGGCAAAAATAGCAAGGGAAAATACAGCGATATTTTAAAGTTTCAAGGATAAAATTTAATCTTTCCTTCCCTGAGATATATGGAAAGACGTACAATAAACAGAAATTTCTGCCTTGTAGATATGCTCATGAATGTATAAAAATTGTGCTACCTTCTATGGTAGGTAGTGACAGGACAATTTTTAGAATCTATTCAATGTTTCATACAAGACCTACATGAATAACTTTGCTTAAGCAGTAAAGAGATTTTCTTTGAGCTCTTTGCTGCTACTGAGTTACCAAGACTGAATTCTTAGTCAGATGTTGCCCACTGTTTCTGGTTCATAGCAGTGGACCTCAGTTTGCTTATCCTTCCAAGAGTGAACTGGTCTCCTTTAACCACAGAGGATAAAAAAGAGGTGGTCATTTGGTTGATTGATTATTTACCACCTCCAAGAATGATTGGCAAATCCTATTATGGGTTTGTAAAGGGTTTCATAGGAAGTTCAAAAGTGTTAGGAGGAAATTACCTCTCAAGATTTGGCACTGGAATTCTCCCTGCTCCTTCAGCCCTAAAGAGTCTTGCAAAGACAGACCAGCTGCAAAGGGGTGTGCTTTATAAGGCTGAATACAAAACGAAGCATGGATTGAAGTGCTAGACTGAAACCTGGAAGCTAAATCTGACTCTCTACCATGTATTTTCACTGTGACCATAAGAAAAACTGTCCATGTATTTAATATCAGTATGGTCAGAGAAAAATGTGTTTTTGCTTCACAGAGAGGCAAATAAATTCATGAAGATCAGAATGTCTCACAAGCAGTGGTATTGGCAGGCCTATGGAGAGATAAGCAGACAGTGATGTGTTTATCCTGTGTGTCTAAATACCTAGTATAACACTTTTGACAGCAGTTGGAGTTGTACTAGTGGCTTAAGTGCCACCAGTATAACTTAAGTGGCTAAATGCACACTTAAAGAACCTAAGTGCAACTGCCAGGAGAAATGGCTGAGCATACCTGCTTAATTCTGAACTGGTCTGTGGCTGAAAAAATAGTACAGTCTCTACCTTTTGCTTTTTTAAAGTGTTATGGTCATTACTCAAAAAAAATCTAAACTCCTTGTTCTTCTGCTTTTTCTTTTTTTTTTTTTTGATCGCAGTTGTAGCAGTATTTTAAGATGACAGTATTTTTATCTTAGTATCTGTATGCGTTGATCTTATAAAAAGGAGTTACAGATCAGCACAGAAGTCAATAAATGCATTCCTAGACATCTAAGTTCTCTTGGAGACCTGCTGGGTGCAGTTTCCCTTCATCCCCTGCTGTAGAGTGATGCTAAGCTGAATTATCTACTCAGCCTAAGAGAGAAATTGCTCAGAGGAGATTCTGATCGTAATTAAACACGTTCCTTTGAATAAGGTTTTTTAAATATGTCCTGCAATCCATTTTGCAGATGCCAGCACATCAAATTTCAGAGCAGGCTTTAATAAAAGGTATTTTGCTATATACACATTTCTTGTGTATAATGACAAATGCAATTTTTAATGTGTTGGGGTTTTTCTTTCCTTGAAAATTGCTCTGTTAGAGATTTTGATTTATCTGATAGATTAAAATACTGCGTGAACAGTGAGGCCTTATTGCCAGATTGTAGACTTAAATTCTGTATGCATTACACTTTAAAATCACATATCTGTGTTTTACAAGAGGGGTGTTTATAAAGATGGAAGGTAGGTTTGCTATGAAAATAAGATATTAACTAAGGAATGAAATTTTGTAGCTTAGAGATAAGACAAGAGTTATGAGGAAAACAACTGCTATTCCTGTCTCTTAAGGTCAGTTTATATGGTTTACCTGGATGCAAAAATAGTTTTACTGTAAGCCTGCTTTAGAAAGCACTGCACTTTTTTTTTTCTTTAATAGTTGCATTTGTGGTGGTTTGTTGTGTCGGGGGTTTTTTTTGTTTGTTTTTGGGTTTGTTGTTGTTTTTTTTTTTTAATACTTATGTAATCTTCCAGGAAATTAGTTGAAGGCAGCATTTTCAGTGTTTTTTTTTCCCCCCATTATTTACAATAGGTAACATGCAAAATAAAGAAAAACTTTTAGATAAAATAAGCAGGAAAAGGCAATTTGAGCAGAGTTTTGCTGTTATACAGTACTGTAGCTTAAAATGTTGCAGCTGATGTGAGTACAGCTATATGTGGACATAATTTATTTTTAGAAAAGACTTTATTTGGGGAAGAGCAAAAAAAAAAGTCAATTTAGAAAGAGCATTGTTTGCCTACCAAGAAGAAAATATCACTCAACTGCAGAATGTATTACATAGTGTACAAAAGAACAATTTAGAGACAGCATTCACTACTTGCTTTCAGTAGTTCATACTTTTCCTCCTCTCTGAGCACTGGAGAGAGGCATTCTAGGATTAGGATTTCTGTGATGGAATTTCTTTAAACAGGTGACTGTGTGTTAAAAGTGCAGTGACTCACACAATGTGAGAAACTGGGACTATTCACAAGTAGGTTAATCTCTGAGGATGGACAGATGAATAAAGTGCAAATACAGTTATGAAATCACACTTTGTTTCAACCGTTCCAGTAGCTGTCTCTGAGGCACTTAACTATTCCTTCTTCTAGCATTAGGAATGCCTATGTAGGCAACTGTAGATAAAATATAATTCAAACTGATCTAGAAATTTCATAGACACACAAGGTCTGTTGTTCCAAGAAACAGAACTTTGCTTGTGAAATGTGTACTTTAAAACTGTTTGGTGCCAGATAGTGAATTCCATCAGCCTAATTACTGTACTTCTGTGAGGGCTTAAGCTTCATCAGACTTTTTATAAAGGCAATGAAACCTGTGAAGATACACTTCAGTCACAAAATTCTCTCAAGCTGCCTAGTAAATAGTAATAAAAACCAATTCCTTCCTTAAATTAGCTCTAAGTGGTTTTTTTTTTTGGGGGGGGGTGTTGTTTTTTTTTTTTTTCCTCCCTTTCTGTTTTTCCCCTCCCCTCAACCAGAATTTAAGGAAGCTTTAGAGTGTAGTTTATTTGATAACTTTGGCTGGACTGAGAAGGAGACTACTAAGAGGGGTAATGAATTGTTAGATTTGATCTGGGTATACTGATTTCTTAAAATCAATCAAAAACGGAGAGACCTTTTTCCAGCCACACAGTTTCCCAGCAAGGTCTGTTTTTATTTCATTGCTAAACCAACAGACTATTACTAACTTAAATGTCAGATGACACTACATCTGAAAAAAAAAAAAGAAAGCGGGGGGGGGGGGGGTGGGGGTGGAAGCCAGCAGCACCACCCAGCAAGGCAGTGCTGGAGTTCACATTGAGACTTCCTCACAATAGCTGGTTAGATCAGAAACCTGAAGTAGCAGTAATCTTACCTTGAGTATACAAGATCCAAGGAGAGAAGATCACTGGCTCAAAACAGTGGAGGACTGAGAAAGTGCTCTGATCTGCTGCTAGTAGCATGCACTTGGCTTTTATGTGCAGGTGGGAGGAGCTGCTCCTTACGGTAGGTGGGCAGTGAGGATAGCAGGCAGACAGCTTTCAGAAGGCATTGTAGAATAGGTTTTTGCTCTTTGGGGAGAAGAGGAGAGAGGGAGAAAAAGGAAGCTGGATCGCGTTTACAGGAGAAATAGTGATGGATTTATTTGTTGGGGTTTTTTCTTTAAATATTTAGTTATGTAAAGATTTTTCTACTGTGTGTGTTCCTTAATCTCTGAATTATTCCAGTTACAGTCACAGTTACTGTACAATCACTGTTACATTAGTTACTACTAGGTCTCACTTTGTCTTTTGGAAGAATTTTTATAGCAGTGAGATACAAAGGCTGCTGTTTCATTTTCTAAGAAGGGAGAGCTATGAAGAAGCAGCCCTTGATCCTAGAAGTTGTTTGTTTACTCTGGGATTGAACTTCCTTTTTATTTCAAATGTCTACTAGATCTCAGCTCTGGAATCCTCCTAAGTTTCCATTGTGCTGAGCTACTCAGCTTTTCGTTGACGCAGCTGTAACATGTTCCATCTACACACTGACTTTCTAGCACTTTAGAGCAGTTTTATTGTTCCCTGTGTCTGAGTTCTAAACAATTTTCCCAACTGGTATTCTCAAAAGGCAAATGTATCCAAAAAGACAAACCAGTAGAAATATGCATTCCTGGTGGTTTCTGTGTAAAATTACTCATTGTTCATTTTAACTCATTCATTGCTTTCAGGGCACTGAGAATGGATGGCACAGTGTCCAGACACTGGCTCCTGCAGGTGAAAGAGACCTTTGTACCCATCTGGAATACACGAATTCTGTATTTCTGTGTGTCCCTACACAAGGCATCTGGGCCTGTATTTTTTTTTTGTCGTAATATATGAGTAAAACCTATATCATATTGGAACATTAGTGAGTGGAGGAAGTTAGAAAGAACAGGAAGGGGGCAAGGACTGGTATGAAATCAAGGGTGAGGTTAGAGGTACATACTGATTTAAAACCAGACAGAAAAATGAATGAGAACCTGAGTTCACAGAGTTGAGATAAGCAAGTTTGTAGTGAAGGTAACAGAGAGGCGATATGATATATGCTGCTTCTTGCACTAAAGGGCCAAACTGGTCAGTGGACAAAGAGGTATAAGATGCTTATAAAATCTGGGAACTTCTCTCAATATCCTGACTTGACTCTCAGTGTTAGACTCTTGTGTCAATATTTTAATATCTGAATATATATATGCTATGATCACTGTAAATAGCTCTCGAGTCACAAGATATTTATGATGGGAAAGATTATGAAGACTTAAGATAGATTCAGAGTAACCTTTCCTTCCTTATCTTCTTCTGTTCTCTTTACCATGAGTGGTATTTTTGGTTTTGGGTTTTGGTTTTTGTTGTTTGTTTTTTTTTTAATGTAGTACTGAGCTTATCAGAATCATAGAATGTTTTGGGTTGGAGGGGACCTTAAAGATCATCTAGTATCAACTCCCCAGATACTTAGTTGCATTCAACTTTATTTGGTTTTGTCTTTTTAGAAAGAGGCTTACAAATCAATTGCCCATCAACTTGAATGTCTGTTAGGTGGTAGAAGTAGCTGCCTAACCTTGGTGATACTTAAAACTGTCAAGCTGGAGAAAGGACTGGCTAATTTTGTTACAGGTATCATGTTGCTATTAGGTAGGGCAATTCTACATTATTGCAACTGATTGAGGAAAAAAATGTCATGTTATTTTGTTATTTCTGCAGCACTCAATGTATTTTTAAAGTTGTCATTAAGAAATGAGTTTCAGTTCTGACAAGATTACTGTGTGCTTTTAGGAAAGCTTCATGAAGTAACGGTAACATGGGTAACAAGTAAAGCAATGGTACAAGTTACTGCAATGTTTATGTAGTTGGTTTAGTTATGGCACATAGTAATGATTCAGTTGATTAAAAGATGTACGCAAACTGGAATTCTACTCAGCTAACATCTAAACAATCAGATGGGTTTGTATTTAGAGAAATCTAGGTCAAGATTTTCAGAAATTAGAAAGTGAATAGTACCCATTATGTGATGATTAAACTGTTCTTACTCTCTCAAAATTGCTGAGCTTTCTGTAGGTTCTTTTAAAATCAGTGGCTACTTCTATAAACTCAGTCCCTTCTAAAGATCAAGCTGTTTGTGTGCACTGATCATGTGTCCTACTATACTGCAGACTCAAGGCTAGCCTTGCCTTTTATACTTCTAGAATAAGAGAATTAAAGAAGTTTTTTAGTTCTTTCCTTCAATGAATGTTAAAGCACTTTATTACAGTATTAAATAAACATACCAATACATAAAATAAAGTATTAGACCTATGCTTATGTTTATTAAAGCACCTGTGATTTTCTAGTTACTGGATCACTTATCTTCCCTAATGAGATTTTTAGTAGATGAAAACTTTGCCAAAATATCTGTGGGAAATTTGATTAGGTCCACATAGGATTAACTGGATTTCAGGGCACACTGCCAGGCTGGACAGTAAATTCAGTGTGGATAGTGTGGCAGGAAGGGTTTTCACGTTCCTATGACTAGAAACAATGACCAACCTTTCAGTTTCCATCTGCCTATTAAAAATAAAGTTATTTTTTCAAGGGACACTTCAGTGCTCTAGCTCTCTTGCTCCATTCTTGCCCCAGAATGTCCAAATTCATTTGCCATGAGCTTCCAAGAATTGTTTGAGGCATCCTGTGCTTTTCAAAATCTGTATCAGGTTTTTGCTTTACTTGATGTTATGGCTACACCTCTAGTGCAATAGAACTGTTTGTAAGGGAATGTGCTTCATGAAGGTACCTTAGACTTGCATAGATTGTTTTACCAAACTTCTGGGAACTGTGCACATTCGCTCTTCAGTGAGTCTTCTATTATATTAAATTTGTTTCAGCATACAGAGTATATGGCAAAAAACCCCTTATTAACAGAGGTGGCATTTCACTCTAGGCCTCTTAAAAGGAGATAAGCCAAAATTCCTTCATTTGTTCCATAAAGAAGCTAAGTGATGACTCCTAGTTTGCCCTGAATGTAACTGAGCTAAAATAATGTGGCTGAATGTGTTAGTGGGGGATGCAGAAATTATCACCCTGAATAGATTGGAAGGTTGAACCTTTGCAAATAAATGATTTCTGTAGCGTCACAGCAACAGCTCTGGTAGGTGGCTGCATGCTATTTGGCTGTATTATCAAAGGAGGAGGGTCCCAAACATTTAGGTAGCATGGTGAAGATTAGCTATCAAGGTCAGGGTGTCAACATTTATTTTTTTTTAAAACACAAACCTGAAAGAATTAGAGGGAGACCTCCTAAGGTAAAGTGCGATAATACAGCTGCAGTAACCTCATGAGGTGAAAGTTAACATTTGGGGGTTTTGTTGTGATGTTTGTTGATATATAAATGTTTTGAACAGCCTACAGGTAAATTTCTTTAAACCTACACAGCCCTCATGTAAATATATTCTTTCATCTTATCTGATTGTAGGACCAAAGACACAAACAATTTCTCCATTTGACCGGTAGTGTATTCTATTAACCTATGGCTTTGAGCAGCATTGTGTCTTCTGTCATTCTTCCCATCATCGTAAGATTTATCCAAAGCCTTTCCAGCAGATTTGCCTTTTAAAGAATTAGATGTGACAATGTTGTAGTTTTTATAGAGCATTTTTGTTTGGTTTTTGTGTTGGTGGTATAGGTTGTTGGGGTTTTTTTTTTGGTTGGTTGGTTGGTTGGTTGGTTGGTTTTCTGTACACTAAAGATTCACAAACCTGGAAGGAAGAGTAAGGGGAGAGAGTGAACAGTTTTCAAAGGGCCAGATCAATTACGTTTGTTTTCTCAGTATACCAAGAATCTGACTGATACTGTCTTTCAGATTTGCACTTGTAGATTAGGGCCAGTCAGATGGTTTGGCTACAAAACTATTGTATGCCAATCCAATGTAGGATACAAAATCAGGATCTATTTTGAAAGTGCAGATACTGCATTCTAGATAAGCATACATTAAGGCCTGAATGTGCGTGTTGATGGAGCACATTTAAGAGAAAAATGCCTACCTCAACATTTCCTCCTGTATGCCAAGGTTCATTCTTTAGCACGTTATTTGATAGAGGTAGGATTGAAACAAGAAACAAACAAACAAAACCAACCCTACAAACCATACTTTTTATACAGCATGTTCTGTATCAAAAGAATTAGACCTCATAGCAGCCTTCCAATATCTGAAGGGGGCCTACAGAGATGCTGGAGAGGGACCCTTCATCAGGGACTGTAGCAATAGGACAAGGGGTAATGGGTTTAAACTTAAACAGGGGATGTTCAATTTAGATATAAGGAAGAAGGGTGGTGAGGCACTGGAACAGGTTGGCCAAATAAGTCTTAAATGCTCCATCCCTGGCAGTATTCAAGGCCAGGCTGGATGGGAACTTGGGCAACATGGTCTAGTGTGAGGCATCCCTGCCCATGGCAGGGGGTTGAAACTAGAGGTTTCAATCTTAAGGTCCTTAAGGTCTTTTCCAACCCAAACTATTCTGTGATTCTGTAACTAATGCCATTTTGTGTGCATCTTGGCTCAGCTGATTGTGTTTAGTATCGTGTCCATCAATGAAAAGGGAATGCAGTCAAAAGCTGCTAGTATTAGATCAATCAATACAGCCTACAGTTGCATCATTTATCTCCTGTATTTACGGAATTCCTGTATTTGTGGAAGCTCTGGACTTCCACTGGCATTCACTAGCTGATGTTGATGCTTACCATATCAAAACAGAAAAAAAACCCAACATACTTTAACAGAGTGACTCTTGGCAGTGTTTACTGAAAGATTGGATGTTTTTCTAGGTATATGATATAGCATAAGCCATACTAACATCTGAAGGATGGGGATTCACTTGCTGGGGAAGCAGTTCTGCTAAAAAGCAATGGCAGAGTCTTGCTAGACAGCAAACTGAATGTGAACCAGTAGTAGGCTGTGGCCGCTAAGTTGTCTTAAGGGCTGTAGCACTTGCGTTTTCAGAGAGACTGCAGGAACCAGTCTTG